TTTCTGTTCCAGTGTGGGTTTGGTAAAACAATGGAGCGAATGCTAGATGCAGAATGGGCCAACCACATTCAAATACCCCAGGCCAATGCAGTACTGACTGCAGAGTCATCCCTTAATGGCCATAAAACAGCCATACATCTATGCAGACAGTAACATAAAACCAAGAGATCAAAGGAAGTGAAACTTGCATGCAGTGTGGATACTACCATAAAATCCGACAATCAAAAGAAGTGAAACCAGCATGCAATGTAGAGGGGAATTTCTGTTCCAACGTGGGTTTGGAAAAACAGCGGAGTGAAAGCTAGATGCAGAATAGGGCCTCTCTCTCTCTCACTCACACACACACATACACACACACATATTTCCTGGGTTTTATGAGCAGCCAAGGAGCATTCCTTTGCTGGATATTCCCTCAGCCACAACTTACATCCACCCATGTCCTCATTTCCTAAATCAATAAAACATATGTGTACTCTCAAAGTCACAATTCCTAGACATAATCACCTGAAAAAACATTAATTACAGTTTGAACTTTCTCAACAATAGCATCCATTCATTAATGTATGACACAATGAACCTTCACAAAAGGAACTGTTTTTGCTGAAAAATCAAACACCAGTTTGTATTGTGCCTGTGGCAGTGTGGACACTGATTGGCTGAGCAGATGTGATGGTACAGAATATCAAGAACATCCCTACTGGTTAGTGATTTAAGTTGCCAAAGTCAGCTTCTGTGAGAGAATGGGAAGTTGTCAGTTGGACTAAGCTTAAAAATCACACTGTTCAGGACATGACAAAGACTAGGAAGTAATGGGGGAGAGTCATAAGGTAAAGTGTCTAAAGGAAGATTGCGAAATAGGGCTGAACCAAAATGGGGAAACAGCAGCTTTTGCAAACATTTTTGTTCTTCCTGAAACCCCATCCCATCTTTGGTGATTTTGCAATGAGAAGGGTGAAAAAGTAGAGGAAATGTAGGCACTTGGACATGCTCCTTTGCATCGCCAATACCTCACATTCTGAAAGCAGTACCACCCCAAAATGAGACTCTCTGCAGCCCCAATTTACTGCTTCCTTGATGCCATTTCTTTTTCAAATTCTGCTTCTCCTTTCGAACAGTGACACCAAATTTGGCTCTGTGCCAACATCTTCAGGGACAAAGAAAGCTACTTCCCTCATATAAGTGAGTGGGTGTGGGAGGTTCTTTAATCTGAGTTAACACTGCTTCAACTCAGAGATTACATTTATGGTCTGCCTTTCTCACTTGCTATGGCATGACACCACCATTTCTATGAAGGTAAGGTCAGCTGAAAGAAAAGAGCAAACAAGAACCTAGGGCTGAAGCAAAACTTTACCATCCCTACAGGATGGGGAAGACGAAGGTATTAATGGCAATAAAGGCAGAGAGGTCATGGATGTTTGGGGGGCTGAGCTCTGTTGGCCAGCTATTCAAAGCAGTAGAGGACACTGCTACTGTGCCTGGAAGAATTGCATAAAATAGGGATTCTTGCACCTGTGGCAGCTTTTACTGCCACTCTAGCATTCTGAGAAAGCAGCCTCAAGAGGGCAATGAGCATGGTTTATGTTGTTCTACTTTCAGTTGTAAGGGTTTTTTTCCCCCCAGAAAATTTTAAGCTGATTTTTATATAATGTGTTGTTGTTGTTGTTGTTAGTAGTAGTGGTCACTTTGAGAGCTTATTTTCAGGCTAGTCAAGCAGGATATAAATATAAGAATAAACAGAATAAGTAATGAGGATCAAGAGGTGGAAGTTAAGTTTACAAACTGACTCAAACTAACCAGACAATTCCCTGGCTGCAGGCTTTTGGCATTCCAGACTTCCTATTTGTGCAAGCATTAGTCTTTAGAAAAATGAGATCCCTAAAGCCCAACTACAAATTCTCTTCCAATTTACCTGATAAGGCATGTGTCGATAGCAGCAAAGTGCTCAAGTATCTGATTACATTGTTACATACTAGGACATATGCGAGTGCATAACCTGTTGATGTAATGGTGGCACTATGGTGTAATGCGCTCATTTCAGGTTTATATAGCACTGCAATATACAAGAGTACTAAATATTTTGCAAGATATTGGGTCTGATCCTGGAAGCTTTTTCACTCCGTCTTAACTAATGTCCTTCCTTTCTACAGTCCCCATCCCACATGGCTTTTGTCTACTTAGGTCTCATGACCCACAGCACAGCTTTTTGTGTTGTCAAAGGGAAACCCTCACTCCCCTTTCACCAGTAGAAAAGCTGGTTAGGTTATGCAGCCATAAACTATGTTTGCAGAGGGTATCATGGATGTGATGTCTTCCATATATACTTTTAAGGACCATATCACACATGCGTCAAGTGACCCAAGACAGCATTTCTGAACCACACCTAACTTTTTTCTAGGGTAGTGGCCTCATAGCAGAACGTTTCTAAGCAGAAAACTGAATAAGAGGTACAACAAACCCCAAAACTTCAAGAACATGAGAGTTCTCATGCAATGTACGGCAATGTTGGCTGACTGCAATCAAAACCCTTTCAACACATGGATGGAGAATGCCTCATTTGGTACAGCTGCATAACTGAACAGAGACATATACACGGCACACTAACACCCCTTCCATTCCTTCAGTTCAATTTCCTTCCATTTACAGTGGTAATTTGCATGCAATATTTAGAGAATAAATTGTCAATAATCCTCTGCAGCATACATTCCTTCTTTTAGTGCTCTCACATCAGAAAAAATGAACATCAACATATGAGCAAGATGTCGGAGACATAACCCAGTCAAACTGAAAATGACACAGTTGGGCTGTTTTAGTTGGATTGTGATTCGTATCTTCATCTGACATGAAATGGAGCAATTCTCTTTTAACCTAACATTTCCTGTAAATATGGGTTTCAGATAATTAGTCCAACTAGACATCAGGACATTATCTTTTTTTCCTCCTGCTTCCCTCAGAGAAAATTCATTATGCTTTCACAAGGCCTGTTGAATATGAGATGTGGGGTCAACATAGATATATTACAGCAAAAGTCTTGCATACGACAGATTAATTTCATTTTATGAATATATGGGTACAGTCCTGCATAAATTAAGTCCATTTAAGTTTCATTGAATTTAATGGCAGCACTTGCTCTATTGTTAAAATAAATTCTTAACTTCTGGCTGAAGGATTTTAAAGTTATATACAAAACATGGAATATGACACCAGAATTATAACTTTTAACCAGAAAAGGGTTTTCTCAACTAGTTTCTATGGGATCTGGGAACCAACAGATGTACTCATGTAAACTGCTGCTTTCTTCTTTATAAAGAAAAATGATAATTATTCCTCCCAGTCATATTCTAAGCAAACTATTCTAAATTAAGTATAAAGTAATCATTTTAACTTTATATCACTCCATTTCAAGGCAGTAAAGAATCAACAGTGCTACAGTAAACAGAGTTACACATTTCTAAGCCTTCAATTTTCAGTGGACTTCGAAGGATGTAACTCTGCTTATGATGGAATTTGTAATAACCTAAAAAGCCCTGTAATAGCATATGTGGGGGGAAAGCTAATATTGTTTAGACTTTATTGTAAAACATACCTGAGGTGAAAGAGAGGAGCTGCATGAGGAAGTTTGTCCCCAATGGACTCTCATGACACCACTGAAGAATGAAACTGAACTTATTTGGGAATCAGACTAATCCTGTGCCATTTAATAGGAAGTGAGGAGCATGTGAAAACCCCATACTTATATAATGGTAGTCATCACAGAATTAAATGGCAAATTCCACTGCCCCCCATGGGAAAATAAAAATAAAAAATAGGAATATTACACAACTTTACATAGTAAGCTGAAGATCAATATTATAAATTGAATTGAATTCCATAAGAACATTAAGAATGTTTCATTTTCTGTTCAAATCAGTGGGACTTTTAAAAGTGCTTCACTCAGGTAGGATTGTACAGTTTTTAAAAATGTATATATTAATACACTATTTTACTTTCAGACTTACCAAATGATGTCGGGGAGGGATACTTGGTCTGATTTGCTGTCCCACCAAATGTCCCACTCAACAAACCAAAAGCAGGGGAAAGGGGAAATCAAACCACACTTTCTTTAATCACAGCTGATTCCCATCTCTCTCTTTCTTCCATCCATTTTTGGGTACACTACACACAAAGCTAACAACTTATGTGAGGGAAGTTTCACATACAACAGAGTTGCCGAGCTTCCGTAGCAGGAATCAGCTCCAATCGTCCTCAGACTTACACGTTGTTGCAGCTGGCCCTGGACCAAGTTTCTTGACTCTGTCACTATCAGGTGGCATCATCATGGTCCAGGCTGCCTCCGACAGTGTCCATTTACATTTTGCATGGCATTGAGAATAGAATCCGTACCTTGGAAGGTGGCTTGATTTCAGCTTCCCTTCTCCATCTCCTGCTT